AATCTGGACTAGGAAAATCAACATTAATCAACTCATTATTCCTCACAGATTTGTATTCTCCAGAGTATCCAGACTGCTGGTGGAACAACCCAAAGTTTTAATCAAAGGAGGTGGTGCTCAATTGCTGCTCACAATAATTGATACCCCAGGGCTTGGAGATGCCATGGACAATAGTCATTGCTGGCAGCCTGTTATTGGTGACATTGATAGTAAAAATGAGGATTACCTAAATGCAGAATGTTAGTGAACAGACATCAGATGCCTGATAACAGAAGTACAGTATGGTTACACTTCCTTGCTCCTTAAAAACTGGATACTGAGTTTATGAAGTGTTTGCATGAAAAAGTGAATAGCATTCCACTTACTGCCAAAGCAGACACACTTCCACTGAGGAATGCCAAAAGTTTAAAAAACAGATAATTAAAGAAATTCAGGAACATAAAATCAAAACATATGAATTTCCAGAAACAAATGATGAGGAAGAAAATAAGTGGTTAAAAAGATAAAGGACCATTTACTTCTTGCTGTGGGAGGCAGTAATACTATTATTGAAGTTAGTGGCAAAAGGGTCAGAAGGAGGCAGCATATCCTTGGGGTGTGGCTGAAGTTGAAAATGGTGAGCATTTTGATTTTACAATACTAAGAAATATGTTGATAAGAACATAGATGCAGGACTTGAAAAAATGTTACTAATAATGTACACTATGAGAATGACAGAAGCAGAATACTTGCAGCTGGAACTTACAATGAAGTTGATAAAATAAGAATAAAGGGCAGCTTATGAAGAGCTCTCTGGCACAAAGGGAAGGAGAAAGGAGGGAGTGTATAGCCAAGATGAAGAAGGTGGAAATGGAGATGGAGCAGGTGTTTGAGATGAAAGTGAAGGAAAAGTTAAAAAACTGAAGGACTTTGAAGCCGAGGTGTAGTGACGCCATGAGCCAATGAAAAAGAATTTGGAAGCCCAACATAAGGAACTAGAGAGGAAATGATGTCAGTTTGTGAAGGAGAAAGCAAACTGGGAAGCTCAACAATGTACTTTAGAGCAACATAACTCCTCAGGGACCTTGGAAAAGACCAAGAAAGGGAAGATCTTTTAAACTCTCTACTGATATGCCAGATTGGACATCAGTGTTTGTGGGCTCCATTTGACCAATTTGCACCACTTTTATCCAGAATGATGGATTTAACAGCAGACAAAAATTTGTTGTTGTTGTTGTTGTTATTGTTGATGGAGATTAAGATGGCTTGAATTGGGTAGTGGATTGTGTACTTAGAAAGTTACAGTAACTTTCTATATTTTCTTTTCCTTTTGAAATTTTTTATTCAAAAGATCTTTTCAATGTAATTCAATAGAACATTGTACTGTTGTATAATCATGCTCTGGTGGTCTAATTGTTTACAGGATATTTCAAAATAAAGGGTCTCCGGAAGGTTTTTATCAAGGATAAATTGCCATAAAATGATGCAAACTATGCTTCTCTAGGATAATTATAATACAGTACCATTCATTGCAGCCTATACAATCATGTAATTTAGTCTAACACAGTTGACCCTAATTTTTGACACTTCCGTTGTTTAAAAATACACATGGAAAAAAACCCAATATCCTCACAATGCACCAAGAGCTTTTTAGTAACAACTGCTTTTTGTTTTGGATTCTTTGCATACATGTTATTCTCATTTAGTGCCCTCTTTAGCCAGAATCTCTTAAATGCTTTATTTTTGTAATAACATTTAATTTCCTTATTTTCCATATACTGGCCCTGCTAAATAGAATATAGCACCTTTCATATGATAGGAACCAACAAAGAAATTTTCCTTTAACTCTCGCTTCATATTTTATTGTAAGTAGCCAGTGGAAAATGCATTTATAGATCATTTCTAGGCAAATTGTGAAGCTAATCACCGACCTGTTTCTGTCTATAATGAGTCTTTTTGTTTTACTAGCATTGGGCATCTTGGTCTCTTAAAGAGAAAAAAAAAAGTTGCCATTCTGTATTTAGTTGCATCCATATATTATGTTGCTGTATTTTTGTTGTATTAAAAAGTTTACATAATAAACAATGTTGTGATGTTAAAATAAGAACACAAAAAAATGAAGACATTAAGCAAGAATGAACTTCAAGGTCACATCAGGGACACACAAGATATCCCAATATCTCAGAGTGTGACATGACATAAGGTAGGATGTGGCACTGCAAATCAAAGGACCTTCTGTGGAAAGACCCCGAAAAGAGAATTTCTTCTGCCTGAGTACTTGGTGTAGGCTTTGATCCTACAAATGCCCAGATGTTCTTCTGCCTGCCTCTGATTTATCAGAAAAGGATAAAGACAAAGAGATCTAGAATCTGAGAACCAGCTGCTCATTATGAGGGGGTGGGGGATGGAAGAGAATGTTCTTAGAAGACCATAGCCAAGGGCCAGAGGGAGCCAGGGTTGGACTCAGAAGAGTGCACAGGAAGAGAGGCTCTGAAGAAAGTAAATGGACATGAACCACCACTTACCAGAAGCTGCAGTTAAGACAGAGACCAGTAGATAAAGGTGATGGGTCTCCCCAGCTGGTTCCCTCAGGAGTGAGGGAAGGAAGATCCTTAATGAAAGGGACATAGATGGAGCTTGGGGAGCTAGAGAAGAAAGTGGAGTCAGTAAAGAGGGGGGATGATTTTACTGGTTTAGGAACCAGTTGCCTAGAATATTGAAAGGAAAAGACAAGCCCAGGGACTAGGGTGTTAAGTAGCTAGTCAGCCATGATGGGTGAGCAGGGCAGGGACAAGGAAGGGAGGCTGAAAACTGAGGCTGGCCAAGGCCCTGAAGGTTTGGCGAGACTCCCCTCCCCCTCCCTCCCCTTCCTTCCCCCACCCTCCCTGGATAACTTGATGGTGGCGGTGACTGGTCTGACCCAGGAACCGGACCCAGGACCCTGGGGGCTGCTGGTCTCCTAGCCCACTCCTGCCCATCCCAAACAAAGCTGATGCTGAGGACCTGGCGCCTTCAGGAGGTAGCAGGCAGGGCGTGGATGGCCCTCATTCCACAGAGGCCGGCCAGGGATTGCAGGGTTCAAGAAGGTGCGTGGATGCCCAAGAGCTCACCCACATGTTAGGGAGTGGAGCCGCGCAGACCAGGCCCTCAGTGACCACTCCTGCTGGCTCCTGGAGACCACACCTTGTCCAACAAGGCAAAGGCCTTAACCACTCTGGAAGGTGAGAGAAGCCCCTGAGGAAGGAGATTGGAACCAGCAGCCACCCTCCTGCAGGACCTCTTCCTTCTCCATCACAGAGAACCGGAGGAACACACCCTATTTGGCCAATGGGAAATGTCTACCACCTGCTGGGACGCTTTAGTGCCTTTTGTAGACGACCTGTGTGTATAATAGGATAAAGCTGCTCTCAAACTCCCCTGCCCGCCTTGTGCTAAATGCTTCTGCTGCAAAATAGTTAAGCACTCAGGGGGAGTCTTTAACCCTGGAAAGGACCAGTGAAGCTTAGCCAGTGAGGGGGCGGGGCAGGGAGGTGGTGGGAGAGGATTACTGGAAAGGAAGGTTTTTGTTTGTTTGTTTGTTTGTTTGTTTGTTTTAGAGAGAGAGAGAGAGAGAGAGAGAGAGAGAGAGAGAATTTTTTAATATTTATTTTTTAGCTTTTGTTGGACACAACATATTTATTTTATTTTTATGTGGTGCTGAGGATCGAACCCAGCGCCCCATGCATGCCAGGCATGCATGCTACCGCTTGAGCCACATCTCAAGGAAGGGTTTTATAAGATGGCACTGTAGTTTGGATCTGGGATGTTCCCAGAGGTGCATGAGTTGAAAGTGTATTCACCAGCCTGAGGGGCTCCTGAGAGATGGGGGAACTTTTGGAGGTGGGGCCTAGTGGAGGAAGTTAAGCCATGGGTGGTGTGTCTTTGAATGGAATATTCAGGACACCAGCCACCTCCTCCATTGCTCTCCAGGCCACAGTGAGTGAGCATCTTTGCTCCATCACTTACTGCCACCATGATGAACTGTCCTGACACAGGCCCAAGAGCAACCAAAGAGGCCAACCAAGCCTGAAACCTCTGAAACTGTGACCTAGGATAAGTGGTTCCTCCTTTTGTGTTGATTATCACAAGTACTCTGTCACAGTAATGGGAAGCTAACTATCATTGGTCATAACTGTACAGCCCCAAAGAAAAGGCAGAGTGTGGAATAGTCAGAAATTGCAAATAATTCTATAAGGCTGGAGTGAAGGATTGACATCGAGAAATGGCAAAGAGGGACAGGAGAAAAGGTTATATCAGGAACTACCTGGTGAGTTCTCAAAAGGGAGCTTAATCTTTATCCTAAAATGAATGGAAAACTATCAATTCTGAACACCAGAGAGAGGTCTACCTCTAGCAGGAATGTAGCTGGACCACTTATTCTAGGCATTTTTCAATCAGCTGTGGGCCTTTGTGTTAGTCAGCTCTTCATTGCTGTAGCCAAATCATCTGAACAGAATGACCAGGAGAAGGGGATTTCCTTTTGGCTCACAGTTGCAGAGTCTCCATCCATGGTTGGCCAGCTACAGGGCACTGGACCACAGATGAGGCAGAGCATCCAACACCATGGAAAGAATCACCATTAGTGTGTTCGCAATTTTTAAATAAAGGTATACAGAGAAATTGGAATCTCATACATTGATCGTAGGGATGTGACATGGTTCAGCCACTGTGGTTGGTGAGTCTTCAAAAAGTTAAATAAAATTATCTTATGAACAACAATTCTATTCCTAAATCTGTATATACACAGTACAGTGTAAATAGTTATTCAAGCAAATTCACATACATGCAGTTTCATAGAAGGACTATTAAAAACAACCACAAGGGAGTAAAAATCCAAATTTCCATCAATGGATGAGTAAATAAAACAATTGTGTCATATTCAGGTACTGGAATATTATTCAGTCATAAAAAGGAATAAAATACTGATACATGCCACAATAAGACTCAACCTAGAACACATCACACTAAGTGAAGAAGCCAGACACAAAAGGTAATATATTTTATGATTCAATTTACATGAAATATGCAGAACAGGTAAATCCATGGACACAAAAAAGCAGATTCATGGTTGCCAGGGGCTACAGGGAGGAAGGGATGAGAATTCACTGTTTAGCGAACATGGGTTTTTCTTGGAGACAATGAAAACCTTCGGGTACACAGTAAACTTTATGGTTGCACAACATCTTTGAGCCATGTATTAGATGGCACTGGACTGTGTAAATGTGAATGTCATTGGGATAAAAATGTCTAAAAGAAACAACAAACTTGGTGATATTCAACAACTAAAAAAACACTACAGTGGTTATATGATCAAATTATTTATTAGTGCACTATAACATGAAGATAAGTAGAATATAATAACAAATCCTGGAGACTTTAAGGCCTAGTCAAAAGATTAATAATAAAAATGATTAATAAATAAGCAATGCAACTATCATGGGCAGTTACTGTGAAAGTTCAAAGATGTAACGTCTTGAAGAAGATGACAGTTGAACTGAACATTAAGGGCTAATGGCTTTTAACTCTTTGGGCTGGAGGTAGAGAAGTGCAATACCACCAGGCAAGGTGTCCTAGCTGCAAGGGGGGTATATGGCAGTTCAAAGCCATTCAACTGTCCAATCTGGTTGTCATAAACTCTATATAAATTGGGAACACACATTAAAGAGCAGATATCAAAGGACCATGACTCTGTCCTGTTGTGTCCCTGTTATCTATTACAATTCTTAGCATATATGTGCTGAATGATGAAGGGTGAATGCCAAAGATAGACAAAACTAAAATGTGTATTAAAGTGGTTTTTTCATTGTAGATGAACATAATGTCTTTATTTATTTTATTTTTTATGTGGTGCTCAGGGTCAAACCTAGTGCCTCACATATGCTAGGCAAGTGCTCTACCACTGAGACACACCTCCAGACTAAAACTTGTTGTTCTTTAAACTTGAATAATAGTAACAGTATATACCAGCATTTATTACTATTGTGGCATTCAGCTAAGGTAGGTGTGTGACAAGTTTAAAATACAGGAAAGCACAGGATAAGTAGAAGGAATTGCATGTGGAGTGACTGGGAAATGTGTTCAGGGCCATCTGGGGAAAGTTTGCAAGCTATCCTAGGCATCTGTACTGCACTCATCCTAATACAACAGGGAATCAGGACAGCCTATTGGCCATGACCTGGTTTGTGGTACAATGAGTGGGCAGTGTGGGGACAGCTGAGTGTGTGCATCATGAGATCACACTGGCAAGTTGTTCAGAAGGCTTAGGACCCTGCCCTCATCTTCCTACTTGGTGTTCACCTAAAGGCCCATCCTTATGAACTGTAGTGGGAACTTGGGGACATGGAAGAGGGAAATTCCCCATGGAGAGGAATTACAAACCTCAGGGACATGAGAACCTGCCACAGAATAGAAGAGTGTTGGTTTCATTATGCCTGATGAAGAAAAGGAAGGGGTGGTCAGCACTGAAAAATGGTAAATATGAAAAGCTGAATTCTTCATCGTATATGCCTGAGCCCGCCACAGCCTCAGTGCCTTCCTCATTTATTTCCAAGACACTCTTGTGCACAAACTTGGACAGACACAGGTCTGTCTCAGTTGACATTGCAGACAAGTCAGCCTGGCCCTCTTGGAAGACATCAACCATTCCCAGATGCTGAAGCACAGACTGCATGTTGTAATCTCCCTGCAGTTTAAATCTTGGAATTAAAACTTTCACTTCAATATTCTGCAAAGAGGCTGCTTCAGTCCAGTCTAGGAATTTCTCAAAAGTAAGGCTATTTTCCACCTGAAAGACCAGAATCACAGGTTCATAGTCAGACTATGGTGGGTATCTGTGGACACACAGACATTTCCATGAACATCCACACAAGATGAGCAGTGCCTTCAGCTGCCCAGAAGCTTGTGAGGGCTCTGACTTGTCCACCACCCCACACGCTATCCCATATGTGATTTCCCTGTGGCTGCTCCTCCTTATCCATCCACTAGCAAAACATATTTATTTCTGAAAAACATTTATGCCCAGTCAGTGGTGCTTTACTTGTGGTATTTGTTGGTTTGAATGAAGCTTAGTTTCAACACAATGAACCATTGCTGGCAAGCACAAGAGACTGGAAGAGCTCTCAGTGTGAGCCTCTCCAGGACAGGGACATCTGCCTAAAGTGGAATGTGGCACTGTTTGTGGAAACTCATCCTCACAGTTAGGGACCTGGACAGAGGGAAAGCCCATGGGAGCTGCTCTGCTCACAGAGACCCTTTAGGTCATCACGGTGCACTGCCACCATTGAGAGGACGGTTGGCTCTCTTTCTATAAGGATCATATCACAAGGAAGCAAGGAGGACAGGGTTGGGCCATTTGGGCTCTTGGGTTGGAGATACTGTGAAAGAAAGGCACAGGGTGTACCCAATTCTTCCCACAGAAATTCTGAGTTCAAAGGAGTGCAGCCCCTCCCAACTCACCACCCTGAGGTCCATGTCCTCATCTGGGAGCAGGATGATCATGCTCAGCTCCTTGCCAGCATAGGGCAGCTCCAACACCTGTGTCTGGGCCTCACTGATGTAGATGTAGTTAAAATTGGCTTTCTGCCACATCATCTCCACTGGCCTTGACTCCTCCTGAGGAGGAATGACCACATGAGCACAACATTTAAAACGGTATAAAAAGGGCAAGAAAACTCTCAACTCTGGCATGATCTAGCACTGCTAGAAATTAATACATTGTTATCATAAACATGCCTTATAAAGAGGGGGAGGAGGTTACTGCATACAAGCTTCCTTATTGCATTACACTGTATTTTAAAGAATTAGAGAATTTAGCGAACTAGTCTAATATCTGTTTTAATTAAAGTTATAGCTCACAGTTGATTAAGGCCTTTGCCACTCATTTTTAATGGTATAAAGATGCAGATTCTGAATCAGTAATAAGTTATGATTAACAACAATTCAAATGAGAGACTACTTTAATTTAAAAAGTAATAGATGGAAAATCTGGGAAGTAGCTCAGGGGTACAGAACTTGGTTAACATGCACAAGACCTGAGGTTGATCTCTCATTGTGAAAAAACATTTTAAAAAAATTCTGATTCAAGAAATGCGTTGTCACATTCCTTCTTTGCATTCTCCCTGTGTCATTCATATACATCCATATATACATATATCACCTCTTTTAGCTTTTTATCTAAGCAGCTTATGTCAATAGGAAGATCTTTGTTTCCAGAATGAGATTAAACCAATACATGTAGGAGACTTCATTAGAGGCAGTTAGAATGCTAATAGGTTGTAAACCATAATAGAGAGCAAGTATTATTTGTTCAAATCATTTTTCCACTAAGATTAAAATTCATTAAGAGGGATGATAAGTTTGAAATTATTATTAACCATTTATGTCTTTACAAAGTTAAATTTTCTATTCGATTTCTTCATCAGACTAGCATAATTTTTGAAAGTCTCTCCCTACCTTGTTTATTATGAAAGGCATTTTGCACACACATGATTTGTTAAATGGCTCATCCCATGTTCCTTTGAAGTAGATGGCATTGACAAGAACCAGCCTGGCCTGCTCATCAATTGAGTTCTTTGGTAGCACTTCTGGGATTTTACCTTTCAAAGCAAGCACAAACACTTTCAGTTGCTTTTTATGAATCCTTAGTGAATAATCATGACATGATGTCTTGGAGATCCAAACATTCTGGTTTCAAATGTGCTGAGTTTGGATGATACTATAAAAGTTAAAAATCCCAGCTATGAGTGGTATTTATGACGACAAGTTGAAGATAGTGAAAGACTTCTAAGTCACTGGAGGAAAGCAGGTTGGGACAAAGCAGAAACTTGACACCAGGTTGGAGAAGACAAGTAGGAAAGGAGAGAGGGGCTGGGTAGGAGCTGATGTTACCTGCTGTGGGTAAGAGCAGTGTCAGGTCTAAGGCCCTGTGGTCAGACCCAGTTCTAACATTGTACAGCTACCTGCAACATTCCTGGGGCATATAGAATTGAATAGCTCCAGACCAGGAACCTAGGAGGAGTTTCTGAAAACTACAGAAGAGAGATTATGATTGCACCCTCCTGACACCTGGAATCCCTGGAACAGATGATGATTTGGGTAGTTGAAGTTATGCCCTTTTTAACTTGGATATCAAGTGGTATGTTTCCAAAAAACTAAGAGCATCCCTGCTAATTTGCTGCCTAAAAAGGACACAAGAAATAAAGATTCCATGAATAAACAGTGGAAAGGACTACCTCTATTTTTTATGGTCTCATTTGTTAGCAGAAATAAGTATGTTCCTAGTGGTACATAAATTATCTGAATGATTTCAACATCAAACCATCATTGATCTTATGGACCAAGATTAGAACTTGTCACACTTTGAAACAGAAATTAGTAAGTTTTAACCAAGCATGAAAGGTGTTTTTACTCTGTGGAATGGATCAGCCCTGAGAGAGGCTCTGTAGCTGACTAATCAAGTCTAGGTTTCTCAAGTCTGATGAAGGGTGCTTAAGTGAGAGATAGGAAAGAAGAAGTAGGAGAAGTCATCTTAACATGTAAAAGTGGGAGGAATGAAGTCCAAACTGACTCCATGAAGAGGAGGGTCAAGGGCATGACTTGGGAAGATCTGGCCATTGATCTGTTCCCACAGCCAACAGTCACCTGCCGTGTGAACAATACAGGCCAGTGTCAAGTAAATTATTACATGGGAAATCTGACCTAAAAGTTTCTGTTGACACTTGTATCAGTCACTCCTGTCCTAGGAGAACAGACAGCATTAATTGTCTGGTTTTGAAAACCTGAGCACTGATCAGATCTTCTGTGAGTCACTTCACACACACCAAGAGGCTCAGCCAGGCATCTTTGCTCTGATGGTTCTGCAACACCAGTGACATTAGCAGTGAGGAGGAGAGGTAGAGGAGAGAGGAGAGGAGAACAGAGTTGGGTGGGAGGAGAGTGAAATAGCTTATAATTCTGACCTTTCATCTCTTTTGAGACCCAACAATTTATATGCTTCCTGGACTTCTCTATAGCTCTAGCAAAGGACAGCAGCTCCAGCTCCGTGTCGTAGGACTGAAGACAGGACTCCTTAAATGTCTTAGGAGAGAAAAAGTTCAGATGCTGGCCATAGAATGACAGTGAGCTTCAAAAAATTCTGAAATCTAATTTTAGGCTGTTCTTAAAATCATGATCAAATCTTAAACTACTTGATATGAAACATTATAGTTTATAAAGAGATATTTCCAGAGCCCTGAAAAACCAGAAATAATAAATAAAATTTGAGACATTGCCAATATTGAAATAATACAAGTTACAGAATTGGGGTCTTTATTAAAAAATAGTTTACTGTAAGTTTCTCAAATTCTCTAGAATGTTGTTCATTTTTTTCTTGTTTTTGCAATACTGGGGTTTGAGCTCAGGGCCTTGAGCATGCTAGGCAAATGCTATACCACTGAGCTATGTCCCAAGGCAATTAATTTTGTTCTTGAGACAAGAGTGTCACCAGGTTGCCCAAGATGGCCTCTGACTCTTGGTTCTCTTGCCACAGCCTCCCAAATATGCCATCCTGCCTGGTCTCTAGAGTCTCTCTTAGGGTTGTATATCACCAGGTATTTTAAATATAACTTTTATTGTTCTGCTGATTCAACTTACCAAGAGGAAATCACAGGTCTTCTCTCCAAAGAGCCTATTGGCTGTTCTAAGTAAGTACTTTGAGCCAGGCTTGTTCACTTGGGTGAGAAGCATCTGGAAGCCCTTATGGATGTCTTCCTGTATCTTTAAAGACATTGCCTGTGAAGGAAATCAGCAAAACTCTGTCAATTTTGATCTTGGTCTTAACAAGAATTTGCAAGCAATTTTTTTTCTAATATACTGAATAAATTTTTCTTTTGAAAGAAAGTTGATTCTGATTGAGAAGTTACACTGGTTGGTAGGTGGAGAGAGGGGCCAGCTGGTGAATAAAAGATATGGCTCTTGTACCTGCACAGCACTCTCTGCATAGTTTAGAGATGAGCAATAAAAAATAAATAAATAAAAGGGGCAAGAGAGGTTCATAAAAGAGACTATTCTTAAGTCCTGTATCCCATAGACACCATAAATGTGTCAGAAATAGAGAATAACTTGCCTCAATAATTTATTTTCAACAAAAGATGCAGTTAAAAACACTAAAAATCCAAGAAAAAAATTGGACAGGAATGCAATCAGCATGATAATATTTAAAAGAAAATAAATGTATAAAATGAGCAATATGATTAATAAAAATAAATCTGTTCTTAAACAGTATCCTAGAAAGAGATAATATATGTGTATTATATGATACTTTATAATTCAAAGGTGTCATATTAGGTCACAAGAAGAGTTTCATTTGATTCTGAAGTATGCAAATGACACAATTTATATTCAATGACTTCAGTGTAGGAAACTAAAAATCAACAACACTACAACTAAAATGCCAACAACATGGAAGCTAACCTAATTACTAATTATTGAAAACACTTTCTAAGGAAATAACTCCCATATGTAACAATGAAATAATTAACATGTTGTTTTTTTTTTGTTTGTTTGTTTTTTTTTAGGTTTTCTCAGTGAGTCTTTTTGACATTGTTTAAATAAGGGACATAGCAGCACAACTTTGGACTCAATCTTAAATGAAAGTACACTGAAAAACAGCTGTAAAAAATGACTTTCATTTCCCAACATAATTAAATTTAAACTACATATATTTCCTCAGTCTTCCAGTTGGTCAACATACTTGCTAACTTAGATAGATATTAGCCACAAATTGTCAAGTAAAGTCTCATCACCTGGTAAAGATGTACACACAAATTGCCAAACCCTTTTGTACCAGCTGAACTGCCCTCTACTGGACTATATAAGGTATTCAGCTAAGAGGTCAATGTGACTTGGTTTCACAAGGTAATTCAACAGAAAAAAAAAATGTAAACATTATATCCCACACAAACTCAAATTTACTGAATAAGTTAAAAACAGAAAGAAAAACCTCTTAGTAAATTAATTTTTACCATGAAAGAAATTGGCAGAGTACCAATTCTACCAGTAAACAATTGAATTGTTTTGAAAATTGGTAATGGAGGTTTATGAAGTTTCCGTCTTTTCAACCTTGGAGGCAGATCTGAAACAATAGTAGTAATAGGCAGGAGCAACAGGAATAATGTAACAGCAATCTTTACAAAGATTTGTGTATTAACACAAATCATATTTTTGTTAGTCTATTCACTCTACAGATGTTTTCTTATGCATATACATGAGTCACAGTGGACACATGCTGAGTAGTTCATATCTGTTAAGTCTCTTCTCACAACAAGCATTAGAACTTTTTGGAGCCATTTCCTCTGTGAAAAGCCATTTTGAGTAGCAAGTTGTTTTTCCTCTGTGGCTCATGCCCAGGCCTGAGATTTGCAGTACTGTAGGACCAGTTTACCACCACTGCCCAAACATCCCTCATCTGGGGGAGGAGCAAAGGACTGATTTCCATAAGGAAACAACTGTTCCAAGGCCACAAGTTTAAGGAACTTCTTGATGAAGTCAATGAGTCCTTGCATGGTTCAGGTTCTCTCTATAATCCACATATTGTTTTCATTATAGAGGTGCCCGGCAGCCTTTAGTAGGATGTCCACTTTTGTCTTGGTGTCACTGGAAGGCTCTTCTCTCTAACAAGACTGCAGCAGAAGAAGGGGGTTCTGGAGTGGCTGTACTTGGAGAGACATCCATAAATTCTTCCTGCCAGCAGCAGCAGTTGAAAAGAGTTTCCACACTGACCTTGAAGATTCTCAATAAGGTAAACACTAAAAATGTTTCTTCTCTTCTAAAGAATGATTCTAAGTAAATATTTAATATAATATTTAAATATGTGACTTATAATTTAGAAAATAAAATGAATGTTATATTACCAAACCAAATAATTACATCAAAAAATAGTTAAACAACATTAATTATTTTAATGTTACAAAGGAAATAATTATATAACAAAACTCCCAATGCACAATGTTAGAAAAGGGAGGGAAAAAAGCCTAAGGAATTTAGGGAAAAACAAAAAATGCTCACGAGTCCAAGAATTGATTTTTTCAAAGAAAGCACACTTATCTACCCAACATAGACAGAAATCACCAATTTTAAGAAAAAAATTTTCAATACTCATAAGAAAAGTTATAAATGAAAAAGAGATTACACAGTAACCCCTGCAAGCAACCCCCACAACATCTCACTGGAGGAAACTCCTCACCTCTCTTCATTCTGTATCCCCTCCCTGAAATGGTCCAGGCTTACCCCTCCTTCCTCAACAGTTCTGGAAAAACTCAAAGAGAGGATAGGAGAGAAGCACTGCAGGCCAGTCCCTTGTCCTGGGTGATAGGTGAGCTTACCCGAGCTATCTGGACCTTGGTGTTCCCCTTTGCTCCCAGGAGGAACATGCCCAAGGCAGAGGAGATGCTCAGGGGAGAAAAAAACACATTTTGTGAAGGTTTGTCTTCACACAGCATCTTCAAAACCTGGATGGCAAAGGTGCCATTTGCTTCGAAAAGAGAATTCATGATGCAGGGTCTGGGGGCAAAGAAGACAGAGAAACACAATGAAATGGGGCTGAGGACACTCTGTGTGCTCTCTGCTTGGCTTTCGTTTTTCCTGTGAATTCAGAAAATTTCTGAGTACCAGTGAAAGCCATGGGAGTAGATTAGACATGTGAGGAAGGGGCTGGTGTCTGTAGAACATCAAACTGTCAAGGAAAGGAAGAGCAGAAAAGCATGCAGAGGAGAACAGAAGTTGACAGGTCAAAGTAAGAAGAGTGAGTAGTCAAAGCAAGAGCAAGGAGGTGCTGCTTGTAGCCAGCGACAGTGGATTTAAACACCATGGGGCAGCTCTATGCAGTGAGACCCTCCCTCACCAGGGGAGGGCCTTAGATCCTGGAAAACCACCCTGACAACATCCCATTTCTCAAAGATTCCCCCAAATCCATGCCCAAGCCTGCCTTCAGCCCCCTCCCAAATAATTCTACCCCACTTCACTTCTCTAGCCCCTATGATCCTGTGCCTAGTCTGAACCACCTGGCTCCTCTCCAGAGCCTCTGACCTCCCTGACCCAGAGATCCCCAGTACAATGAGCTCCTGCTCACTAAAATGCAAATCAAGTGGGCTGGGGAGCCTCAGAACATGGGCTCCCACAATCAGGTACCCAGATGGATAGACACACAGAATACTGAAAGGGAAGTGCTATCTTGATCCTATGACCCCAACCTTAAATCTCCAGTGGCCCTAGGGAGAAGCTCAAAATGTATTTTGTAAATGGCACCCCATCTGCATGGCCCCATTCCTGGCTGCAGTCCTCCTCTCTCACAGTCTCCACCTCTACCCACCCTGATCCCCCAATCGCCTCTGAGCTTTGGCAAACACTGATATACAATTTAAAAAGGCTCCCTACAACATCTGTGTCACCAGGCTCCAGTCACTCATTCCTCTATCCTAGGCTCAGCACCAGGAGGCCTCTGATGTCCTAGTCTAGAGCTCCCTCCTACCCACCCTGACTCATCACTGTTAATTGTAATTCCTTGTCTCATTTATTGTTGGACCCACAAGACTGGCCTCTGTCTGCAGGAAAGGTACCTGGCATCCTGCTTTTAAGCACCTGCAAGTATGCTCAGGAAACAGCAAGAGCTCCATCAATCAGGGGGAAATCTCAGATAAATAAAGGGTGCACTGGTTTTGAATTGGATACTGGAGATTTTAAAAGCACAGTGAAAGGTAAGGCAGAAATTATTCCATGACTCCCTGAGGAGAGAGGAGAGGTGAGGAAATAGGGCCAGTAGGTGGAAGCTGTGTTGGAGCATGAACACCCACCAGGGTGAGGTCCAGAGCCAGCCAGGGGCAGGCAAGAGGCAAGCAGAGAAGCCAGGAGGCTGCACAGCATCTTTGTCTTCTTGGAATCCTGCTTCACTTCTCAGGGACCTGCCCTAAGTAAGTTCGTCCTGCACCATTGACCCCCATGATCTCCCAAGAAGCTGTTTCTAAACAAAGCAATTACTTTGACTTTTTAGATTGTCTTTTCTCATCTCAGCCTCTGGCATCCCTTCTCCCAGTGGTGGCCTGGGGTTTCTAAAACTTGCATGCCTTGGTACACTGTCACTTCAGCCCCTGCACAGAGAAGTCCTCACCTGCCACCTTCCACACAGTCTCTCCCTCAGGTCTCAGTGCTGCTAGCCTGGACTGACTTCTGTATCAAAGGACCAGGATCCACAGCTGTGCCTCTCTCAGGTCCACTCTGGAGCCTCTGCACTCCCAGAGGCCTTTTATCAGGCCTGATTGGCTGTGGAACTTCCTGTCTTCCAATCAGCATTCACTGCCCCAAGGAAGAAATCCAGTGTGACCTGGGTCAAGTCACTAATCCCCCTGTTCTTGTTCCCCTAGCCTGGCCTCTGTCACAAAGTGGTTTGCACTGGAACACCAAGGGAGACACTGGGGTGGAGTTGGGCAAAGCATGTTTTCTAGAGGATTCTGAAAGTGAAAGCACTCTGAAACTGATAACCAAAGGCAGTCTGCAAAGTCCCCTGGGAAAAACACAGTGGGGACTGAGGAAGGACACAGATCCTACAAATCTGGACTTCCCTACTGACAGAAAGCAAAGACAGAATGACAGGCTGAAATTTCAGGGGAGGAAATTTCTATAGGTCTGTATTCAGAGCCTCCTGCCTGACACAAAGGAGAGATTCAGCTAGGTGGAATGTGTCCCTTTCCCTTATATGCTGTTGGTGGGAATGTAAATTAGCCCCATCACTTTGGAAAATGGTAAGGAGTTTCCTCAGGAACTAAAGGTAGTGCTACCTACCACATGATCCAGTTATACCACTCTTCTCTGTGTCCATGTGAAGGAATCAAAGTCAGCATAGTAGAGAGACAGCGGCATACCCATGTTTGTCCCAGCACTGTTCACAAAAGCCAAGTTATGGAATCAGCCTAGGTGCCCATTAACAGATAAATTCATCAAAATAAAAAAATGTGGTAAGTATATATGTACAGTAGAGATTTATTTAGCCATAAAAAGGAAGGAAATGTAATTTGCAGGAAAACAAATGCAACTGTAAAACATCATGTTATGCAAAACAAGTTTCAGAAAAACAAATATCTCATGTTTTCTTTCATATGTGAAATCTAGAGAATACTATAAAATGACATGAAAGTAGAAGATGGACTAATAGGGAAGATAAGGGGTGAGGGAAAGTACAAGGGGGGTCAAGAGAGTGTTACAGGTAGGGTGGATTCAGTTAGAGTACTTTACATGCATGTATGAAATTGCTACTATTAAACAACTTTTTTGCACAATTACTATGCACTCAAAATTATTTAAAAACAATCTTTTTTAAAATGTTGTTTCCAAGGGCTGTGTATATAACTTAGTTTTAATGTGCTTGCCTCATATGCACAAGACCCTGGCTAAATCCCCAGCACCACAAAAATAAAAATATCAACTTCGTTTTCCAGTTTCTCCACCACTCATTATTACCAGTGCAGTTCTCTCATAGAGAACACAGTGTCCTAAATCTGAGCAGCTGATCTCTTTTCCAACTTCTGGTGCTTAGGCTGTGGAACTGGTGTATAAGCAGACCTACTCCTCATTGACCATGTGACAGAAACAGAGACTAAATCAAAATGGCTCAGGACCACAAGTGTGTCCATCAGCAGGTTCTGAGGCAGGGAACACCTGGAGCACATTGGTTTAGTAGTTCATGTCATCCAAGCTCCACACTCTTCCCCATCCCACTTTGTACCAGCTTCAAGCAATTGGAAATACTTCATGTTGACATGTTGTCCTAAGAAAGAGAACAGACCAAATGTCTCTTCCTCTGAAGCAGGGAACTTTTCTTAAAAGTTTGTCCATCAGCAGATACCTGTCATCAAATTAATAAAAATTAGTTTTCTCTCCTGAGTGCCTGAATTATGGCAAGGCAAAATATTTAACAGGCCATTTTCTTAGGCCCAAGAATGAGGGCTTCCATAAACTTTGGCCCTACATGCCATAACACCTTTTTTTTTTAATAACACCTTTATTCCTTGGCACATGCTTGTAATCGCAGCAACTAGGGAGGCAGAGGTAGGAGGATCCAGAGTTCAAACCTAGCTTCAGCAAATTAGCAAGACCCAGTCTCAATTAAAAATAAAAATATCTAGGGAGGTGTTTCAGTGGTTAGGTGTCCCTGACTTTAATTTCTGTATACAAAAAATAAATAAATGAATAAACATGAAAATAAACAGATAAATAATGCTTGTTAAAAGATGAATATGCATGCCATAATATTGATAAGAGAAGGAATCTGAGACATTCTAAATTCAGTTACCAACAGGATGGAGGAAAGAAAAGATAAGAGTTTAACTGATAGTTTCAAGCTAACTCAACAAAGAAAAAAATAACTGCAGCTTATTTTTTTCCCATATTTTTAAGATCAGCCATCAAGACAATTTTATTCTGCTTATCGACCCAACCAACCAAGAGCTTACAGAAACATGTCTCTGCTGACTCTCTTCCTATCCCAGGTCATATCCCTCTTCTCTCTATCCATTGTACACTTAATGAAAGTAATCTGCACCTCCTGCTGCCTGAATTTTTAAGACAAAATATCCTGAGTTTTTATGACAAAATAGATCCAGTGGACATTTTTCAAGCTGCTACATGGTAATGCTGCTAGTGATTTAGGGAATTTGCCCTAGGACCAGGCTAGCAACATGCACAGCTTGATAAACCCATGTATTTCAGAGATCTCTCCATCTCAAAATTATGGTTGAACAATATTCACCCCTTTAAATCCTACAATTCAGAATATTCACAGAGCTGTACAACTGTCACTACTATCTGAGTCCAGAACATTTACATCACTTCAAAAACAAATGGGATACTCATTTATAATTATTCTCCAGTCCCTCCTTTCTCCCTGCCAACCTCTGGAAACCACTAATCCATTTTGTTCTCTATATATTGGCCTATTGAGAATATTTCATGTAAGAAATAATATAATATGAGGTATTTTGTTACTGCCTTCTTTCATTAACCTGATATTTTCAAGGTATTTCCTTGGTTCAAGGTATGGGCATTTATCTCTTTTTGTGTTGGAAAAATATCCATAATAATATTGAGTGTGTATATGTTTATTTTTAAGTTCATCAATTGGTAGGCCATCAGGTTGTTTTCATCATCTATCTGTTAAGAATAATGTTGTTATGAACATTTGTGTACAATTTTTTGTAGACATATTTTCTTGAATTTACCTTGAATATAGACCTAACTCTGAAATTTCTTGTTCATATGATAACTCTGTATTTACTTCTGGTGGAACTACCAAACTAATTTGCAAAGCTACTGCACACATTTAAATGCCCACTAGCAATGAGAGTTTTAGTTTCTCCATGTCTATTATCTGATTGTTGCTATTCTCATGGGCGTGATGAGATGTTTCATTAAAGCTTTCACAATTGTATTTCCCTGATTTGTCATGATGTCGAGCTTCTTCTCATGTGCTTATTGGTCTATTAAATATCTTTCTCAATGAAATGCCCCTGCAAATGCTTTTGCCTAGTTTTAAGTTGGGTTAATATTTATTTTACTACTGAGTTTTTGAACACCAAATTTTTAACTACATGAGTTCTGGTTACTTCCTCATCTCTGGGTGAGTTCTAAATTTTCCCAAGGTTAAAATATTTTTCCACTATGTAACATGTCATACAACATCATGTCATGCAATGCCATGGCATGCCATGCCACCCCACACCACACACTTGACACCACCCATAGGCTCCAAGTTCTCAGCACTGGCTTAGGTTGGGAAGGGCAGGATTGGGGCAGTAGACTGGCAGTCCAGGTTGCTAGGTCCCATAGGTCTTCACCACCATCAGGTCATCCAGATGAGGGGAGAATTGAGGGTCCTTCAAGGCCTGAGCTAGGCAGTGCAGGCCTGAGGAAGCAGAGGTGGAGGACCACAGAGGGCCTGGGGGGAGCAGGCCATGCTCTAACTCTCACTAGGTGCTTTGCTGAAATATATGGGGAAGGAAAGTGATTAACTTCATGAAAGTGGGAAATAGCAAGAAAGGGGGTGGATTTCCACTATCCCTTTGGATGGCATGACCCCAATAACCTAACTTTCTCCAAGCAGGCCTCAGCTCTTAAATGTTCTACTGGGTCATAGAGCTGCCCCATGTAGGAAAAAACTGAGTATGGTTACTTTGTGTTGCTGTGAAAATCCCAATGACCCAACTTGCCATTATGAGCCCTGAGCAATAGGTCCCTGTATGGTTTCTAGCTGAGCTCAAGTCTATCCACCTAAAAGCATTGGAAGAGTTTCCAATTTAGGATTATTACATGTTGAATATTCCTTATCTGAAATTCTTGCATTCAGAAATCTTAAGAATTTCAGATATTTTTCTGATTTTAGAATACTTTCTTATATACAACAAAGTGTCTTGTGAATGGGACACAGGTCTGAAAATGAAAATCAATTGTTTCATGAATGTCTTATACACACAGCTTAAAGGTAATTTAATATGATATTTTATAATAATTTTATTAATGAAACAGTTTTTATATACATTGAATCATCAGATTTTTGGTACCCTGTTGGTGCTTTAAAAGTTTTGAAATTTGGAGAATCTCAGATTTCAGAGAGGGTATGCTCTAACTATTGTAATGGTTGAATGCCATTTGTCTTCAGAGAGCCTCTGTTTGTAGAGTGTCTCGTAGTGGAATTGTTGGTCAGAACAAATATTGATGAGGCCTATGAGAGTAGATCTCAAGGACTTGACTGCAAATATATCAGAACATTATCCTTTATGCTAATGCAAAAGGCTAGTTTGGAGCCCAATAATTAATGAACATGAGTCTTGGAAGAGAAGGTAGGGGTTGAGCAAGTGTGTTTCTCAAACATTAATGTACATATGAATCCCTGTGGGCTTAGTTCTGTCCCCCAGCATTCATATATTGAAGTCCTAGTTTGTAGTACCTCAGGAAGTGACTGTATTTGGCCTTAAGGTCTTAAGAGAGGTGATTAAGTTTAAATGAGGTCAGCAGGGTGGACTTTCATCCAGTATAACTGCTGTCTTTTTAAGAAGAGAAAATTTGGACATAGAACAATAGAAAGGGAAGACCATGTATAGACACAGCAGGAAGGCTACATGCCTGGGGGAGAACCATGGAACAGATCCTTCCTCACAGCTTTTAGAAGGAACCCTGCCAACACCTTAATCTCAGACTTCCAGCCTCGAGAACTTTGAGAAAATTTTGTTACCTAAACCAGCATCTAGTCTGTGCTGCTTTGTTGTGATAACCCTAGGAAACTTATCCAGGATTCTATTGGGTTTTTGTGAAAATGTAGGTTCTCATTCAGTAGGTCTGGGATTTAGCCTGAGTTTTTCTACTGCACAG